CCCCAAAACCCCAAAACCCCAAAACCCCGTAAGTTGCAAATCATTAGAATAAATTGATAAATCAGTCATCATTAAAATAAAAGAATAATTAAATATTTAAAATCTATATAAATCACTTATATGCAATCCATTGAAGAGATACTTCAATTATTTGAGAGGATAGAAAAATTCACAATTTAAGAAACCAAGAGTAATAATAAATTAATAGTGGGTAATTAGGAGCAGATTTTAATGGAGTGGCAAATAGTAGAAAAATATCTCAAAGAAAAGGAATTGTAAAGAATGCTCAAGTATTCGATAAAATATAATTCCATTGAAAAAGATGAAACTTAAAACTAAGTTTGGAGAAAAGAAATAAAATCAGGAGATATGATCGATGTCAATTTAGAATTAGCTAAAACTTTAGGAGATTCTGTTTGGGTCTAAGCAAAGATTAAAAAAATAAGATTTGATGATTTGCTAATACTAGACTTTATTTTCGATACATGGTAAAATAAAACAATTATTAATAAGTGGTCTATCAGAATTGCATAACTTGGACAATACACTAGTTAAATATGCTAATAAAAGGATAAGTTTAAGCCAATGATTAATGTAGACTCATGTGGCTCATATTGGTGGAATAGATCTACAATTCTAGATATTTGCGATAGGGAATAGTCAAATATTATTGTAAAAATGGCTCGAATTGGTTTTAGAATATATTGTGAATAGGGGAAATAAAAGGATAAAATGGGTCAATACGATGGCTGGTCATCTAGTTTTGATGAATGGATACCACTATATTCTTCACGAATAATGCCATTCCTAACATAAACCATGAAAAAAGAGATCGAAAACTTTATAGAATCTCCTTAAAACTTGAGAACTTTGGATTAAAATTAATCTAATATCGATAAACTAACATAATTTAAGGAATCCCCTCTGTTAATTGCAAGTTATACTGGTTGATATGATGTTGCTGAATACTTAATTTCCTTTAAAGCAGATATAAATAGAAGAACTACTTATCATATTTCGCCTTTGATAGCGGCAATCTAAGGGGAGCATTATGATATCGTGAAACTATTGATAAAAAATGGAGCAGATGTTAATTTAAATACTAAAAATGCCTATGCTTCACAACTTATACTATCTTAGCAAGATAAAGTATTGCATTTAATTTTTGAGATTCAAGAATTTGAAAGAATTAAAGATTATTTAAATTATCTGAATGGAGATTAATCATAGAAAAATAAGCCTTGCTTTTATAAGATAAATAAGAATATATTACACAAAGCTATAACTGAGTATATTTGAGTATTTTCAATTGAAAATAGTAATGAATTAATACTTTTTAGCACAATTTTATATTATAGATTCAAATAATAATATTAAAATAGATTTTTAGCTTTCATTCTTAAAAGCGGGGTTTTGGGGTTTTGGGG